ACAGAAACATAAAGTGAAAACTAATAGATGATTTTTTTAAATGATGATGAAATCAGATCAGACCTATTGTCATGTTTAATCCCAGTGAGAGTCAAGTTGGGAATTGATTTTTTTTTTACAGAAGATCAGTTTAGTATGCATTAAGTAAAGATTTCAACAGTTTGCACCCCCATGGATACACAAAGTGAAATATATTGTTTGAGTACTCGTAATAGCATTAAATCTCAATGTACAGCATATTAAGGACAGAGATCCTACATGAGGAGTAAGTGCACAATGACTCCTGTTGTTGACTTTACAAATTGACACTCCTGTCTATGGCATCAGTAATCTCCCTATGCTCCAGTCATGAGTTTCCAAGGCTATGGAAGCCCTCTGAGTTCTCCGACTCTTATCTTGTTTAGACACGGTCATAGTCAAAGTGGAGGTTCTCTCCTCCCTTCAGAGAAAGGTACCTGCTTCTTTGAAGACCTGTTCTTTCCACTGGGTTCTCACTCACAGAGATCTTTTTGCCAGAGTGTCTTGGCTTTCCATGCCTGAAATACTCTAATGGGCTTTTCAGCCAGCTCCGAATGCCTTTAGGGCTGATTCTGAGGCCAGAGTGCTATTTAGGACATCTGCCATTCTATGAGTCTGCTGAGTATCTCACTTCCCATGCCAACTCATATTTGATCAAGGATCCAAAACCAATCCCTGGAGTAAGGACAGTCTATTCAATAAATGGTGCTGGGAAAATTGGATTTCCACGTGCAGAATCATGAAGCAAGACCCCTACCTCTCACCTTACACAAAAATTCACTCAACATGGGTTAAAGACCTAAATTAACAACCCGACACCATCAAATTATTAGAGAACATTGGAGAAACCCTGCAAGATATAGGTACCGTCAATGACTTGTTGGAAAATACCACAGAAGCACAGGCAGTCAAAGCCAAAATTAACATTTGGGATTGCATCAAATTGAGAAGTTTCTGTACTGCAAAAGAAACAGGAAAGTGAAGAGGCAACGAACATAATGGAAAAAATATTTGCAAGCTATGCAACAGATAAAGAGTTGATAACCAGCATCTACAAGGAAATCAAGAAACTCCACAACATCGAAACAAACAACCCACTTAAGAGATGGGCCAAGGACCTCAATAGACATTTTTCAAAAGAGGAAATCCAAATGGCCAACAGACACATGAAAAAATGTTCTGGATCACTAGCCATCAGGGAAAAGCAAATCAAAACCACAATGAGGTTTCACTTCACCCCGGTGAGAATGGCTCACATACAGAAATCTACCAACAACAGATGCTGGAGAGGATGTGGGGAAAAGGGACATTAACCCACTGTTGGTGGGAATCCAAACTGGTTAAGCCACTATGGAAGTCAGTCTGGAGATTCCTCAGAAACCTGAATATAACCCTACCATACAACCCAGCCATCCCACTCCTTGGAATTTACCCAAAGGAAATTAAATTGGCAAACAAAAAAGCTGTCTGCACTTCAATGTTTATTGCAGCTCAATTCACAATAGCTAAGGCCTGGAACCAACCCAAATGCCCATCAACAGTAGACTGGATAAAGAAATTATGGGACATGTACTCTATAGAATACAGCAGTCAAAAACAACGAAATCCGGTCATTTGCTACAAGATGGAGCAATTTGTAAAACATTATGCTGAGTGAATTAAGCCAATCCCAAAGGGACAAATATCATATGTTCTCCCTGATCAGTGACAACTAACCAAGCACCAAAGGGGAAACCTGTTGAAGTGAAATGGACACTCTGAAAAACAGTGACTTGACCAGCCCTTGTCCTGACTGTTGATGTACAATGTAATACTTTATCCATTTTAGTATTTTTTTGTTCTAGTACTATTGGTTGAACTCTGTAATTAACAGAACTATTCTTTGGTGTTTAAATTTAACTGAAAAGTGATCACTGTTAAATATAAGAGTGGGAATAATAGAGTTAGGGGATGTACAATTTGGGATATGCTCAAGCTGACTTGCCCCAAATGGTGGAGTTAGGAATGTGCCAGGGGATTCCAGTACAATCCCATCAAGGTTGCATGTACCAATGCCATCTCACCAGTCCAAGTGATCAACTTCAGGTCACAATTGATCACACTAATAGGTCTAAGAGTCAAAGGGATCACATAAACAAGACTAGTGTCTGCTAATACTAACTGCTAGAATAAAAAAGGAGAGAATGATCCAACATGGGAAGCAGGATACACAGTGGACTCATAGAATGGTAGATGTCCTAAACAGCACTCTGGCCTCAGAATCAGCCCTTAAGGCATTCGGATCTGGCTGAAGAGCCCATGAGAGTATTTCAGGCATGGAAAGCCAAGACACTCTGGGGAAAAAAGAGACCTAAATGAAAGATTTCTGTGAATGAGATCCCAGTAGAGAGAATGGGTCAAAGAAGGAGGTAACTTTCTCTGAAGGGAGGAGAGAACTTCCACTTTGAGTATGACCTTGTCTGAATAAGATCGAACTTGGCGAACTCAAAATGCATCCATAATCTTGGCAACTCATGACTGGAGGCTAGGTTGATTTCTGATGCCATAAACAAGAGTGTCAATTTGTTAAGTCAACAACAGGAGTCACTGTGTATTTAATTCTCTTGTAGGATCTCTGTCCTTAATGTGTTGTTCAATGTGAATTAATTTTATAACTAGTACTCAAACAGTACTTTACATTTTGTTTCTGTGTGGGTGCAAACTGATGAAATCTTTACTTAATATATACTAAACTGATCTTCTGTATATAATAATTGAAAATGAATCTTGATGTGAATGGACTGGGAAAGGGAGTGAGAGATGGGAGCGTTGTGGGTGGGAGGGAAGTTATGGGGGGGAAAAGCCATTGTAATCCATAAACTGTAGTTTGGAAATTTATATTTACTAAAAGGTAAAAAAAAACTCCTGGTAGAATTTATTCTATGACCCACGGTTCATTCAGGAGCATGTTGTTCATTCTCTATGTGTTAGCAACTCAGGAATCTCTAGAAATATGCAAACTCCCAGCCTCATTGTATTGTGGTTCAAGAAGATGTGTGATAGGATTTCTGTTTTTTTTTTTTTTTTTTTTTGAATTTGCTGAGACTTGGTTTATGGCCTACTATGTGGTCATTCCTGGAGAGTGTTCCTGGAACTGTTGAACATGTATTCTGCACCTATCAGATAAAAATTTCTGTAGATATCTGTTAGGTCCTTTTGTTCTGTAGTGTCAATTAACTCTTTCCTTTCAGATTTTCTGTCTGGTTGTATCCATTGCTGAAAGTGGAGTATTGAAGTTCCCTATTACTATTGTATTAGAGTCTATGTCTCCCTTTAGATTCTTTAACATTTCTTTTAAATAGCCAGGTGCCCTGTAATTAGGTGCATATACATTTATAATAGTCACATCTTCCTGTTAAATTGATCCCTTAATCATTCATAGTGCTCTTTGTCTCAACAGTTTTTGTGTTAAAGTCTATTTTGTCAGATATTAGGATGGCTATACCAGCTCTTTTTTTTGTTTCCGTTAGCATGAATATTTTTTAAATTCTTTCACTTTCAGTCTGCATGCATCTTTGTTGGTGTGATGTGTTTCTTTTAGGCAGAAAATAGATGAGTTTTGTTTTCTTAATCTGTTCAGCCAGTCTATGTCTTATCTGGATTATTGAGGCTATTTACTTTCAAGGTTGACTATTGATAATGACTTTGCCATTTTTCCAAAAATACTTATTTTTTACTTTGAATTTTCTTTGAACTTTTGCTGGGGCATTTTCTTCCTTTCATAGTGATGACCATGTTTCTGTGTTTCTATGTGTAACACATCCTTCAGCATCTTTTGTAGGGTTGGACGGGTGATGACAGTCTTTCAATTTCTGTTATGGAATGTCTTTTATTCATAAATGAGAGTTTTGCAGGGTGTGGTATTCTGGTTTGAAAGTTTTTTTTCTGTCTCAATACTTGGAATATATCTTGCCATTGTCTCCTAGCCTACAGTGTTTCTGATGAGAAATCCACTATGGTCTAATTGGAGATCCTCAAAGTAATCTGGCATTTCCCTCATGCACATTTTGAATCATTTCTTTGTCTTACTGTGGTTAGTTTGATTACAATGTGTCATGGTAAAGATCTTTTCTGGTCATGTCTAATGGAATTCTATGTGCTTCCTGTATTTTGAATGTCCCTTTCTTCAAATTAGCAAAGTTTTCTGTTATTTCACTAAAGGCCTTCTAATCATTTCTCTTTCCACAACTTCAGAAAGTCCTAGAACCCATATGTTGGGACATTTGATAGTATCCTGTAGGTTCTCAACGAAGTTTGGTTTTCTAATTTCTTCTTGTTTTTGGTTTGACTATAATTTCTTATGCTTCATCTTCTAAGTGGGATAGTCTTTCTTCTGCTTCACTGATTCTGTTAAGGCTTTCTACTGCATTTTTTATTCTATTGCATTCTTCATTTTATTTTGATTTCTCTTTAAGATCTCAATTTCATGGGAGAAATTTTCTTGTCCAGTATGGAACACTCTCTATACTCAATATCTTGCAAATAATTAAATACAAAGGCATACACCAAAGCAAAAAAAAAGTGAAGAAGGAAAAAATAGTACTAGAAGCTTCCACATATAATTGCACATAAATGGTAGTATTTGATTCTGCTGTTTGACTTGCTTACCCCTCAGATCATGTCTGACTGAGAGAGGGTAATAGTGGAAGCCCAAAAAGAGATACGAATTCCTGGGTAAGGCATTAAACTGAATTCATTGGTGAAATCCAGGGAGGGTCAGGCATTGGGCTGGTGCTGAGCTTGTGCCATGATAATACCTGGAGTTCCTGGGAGTTAAATATTCTCAGAAAAGTTGAAAAACTTGAAGGTCCCTGGCAGTATTTTGTTTTTTAATAACTTATTTGAAAGTTAGAATCACAGAGACATAGATCTGCCATCCACTGATTCACTCCCTGAATGACCACAGTAACATTGATCCATCAATCCAAAGTCAGGAACCCAGAGCTCCATCCAGGTCTCCAATATGGGTAACAGATTTACAGGGGCCCAAGCACTTGGGCCATATTCTACTTCTTTCCCAGGCACATTAGCAGGAAGCTGGATTGGAACAGCTGGGATTCAAACCAGAGTTCATGTGGAATGTTAGTGTCACAGACATCAGCTTAACTTACTGTACCACCACACCAACTCCCGTGACCCCATTGTAAAGGCTAGTAGTTTACTCTGAAAACTTTTAAAATTGTGTCCCTAAGATATTGAGAACTTTGAAATATACAGGAAAGGTCATGTAAAATTTTAAAACATTAGGTTGTATCTAATGTTGACAACTTCACACTTTAACCTAAAATCTCTACAGGCAACAATCATGAACTTGACAATGAAACCCCCAAATTTCTCTAAACTTTGCATACCTCTCATCGCACTTTATAACACATTTTCATTTTTCAGTCCCTCAACCTCCTGCACCTCAAAATAGTCTATCAGGCAAAGCATTTGTTCCCTTTGATTCTATTTTTAGGATGGCTTCCCTTCAGACAGGGCCATTAGAGCAGCTGTGAGAGTTGATCCTTGTTCATCGGGGACTGAAAAAAAAAAGAAACCAATCCTCACATACAGTAGGCACCAGGACCCTCCTGAGCCACTCTGAATGCAGCTGTAAGCAGGTGAGTGCTACTGGTAGGGAGAGGAAGGGCCCTTTGCTGAACGGCTGTTGGTAGACTTAGGGATAGTCATGATTTGTAGATATAAATATAAAAATGGAGGGGTGCTAATTTATAGCATTGAAACTAGCATTATGAGACAGTGTCAGGTAATATCAAAGACTGAATGGGAAAGAAGTTGCATTTGTCTTGTGCTTGGTATTAATCCAGGAAGATGCAAATGTGAGTTGTGTTCTTAGGGATTTAACAAGTTGAGACTCAGAGCAACAGTGATACATTTTAGGTTTAGTACCTAGTATCTTTTCCTGCCTACTGTGTGAACCTATTCCACCTCATCTCCTGACAGTTTCATGCAGCAGCCTGTTGAGAAAACCAACAAGAACAGCAAAAGTTCACTGCCACTGAATTCAGTGATATTAAGAGTTGAAATTCCATTTCTTCGCCATAGGCTCTGTGAACTAAAATTTAAACACCAGTAAACTCAGGGGACAGGAGGATGTGCTCAGATCTTGCTGGGTGTTTGGAAACACTACCTGCTCCTCGCTGCTGCCAGCAGCAGTCCCGGCCCAGGCCTCTGCAGTGTACTCTGAAGCTCCAAGACCATTCTGGGCACCTCCCCAAAATGGTCATAACTGGCAGTGTCTGCACTTCTGAGGTTAGGGCATGCTGGGATTAGAAAGGCAGGTCAACAAAGCTTGCTTTGTAAGATATAAAACGCACAGCCCCAGTTCAAAGTCCACATTAAGCTACATTTTAGCCCTGGCTTAAAGTCCTTAAAGAAACTGTATTTCATCCCAGAGACCAACTCAGGCATTGAGAATCTGGCTCGTACAATGTGACCTCAAATTGTATTAACGTACTTGAGGCACATGAGCGGTTCTAGGGCAGAGTTGCTCCTATGCCTCCTCACTGTGGTAGCATTTAGATCTTGCCTCCCGAACAAACTTGAGCAATAAATTAGGGCAGAGACCCTGCCTTAAGTCTGTGGTAATCCCTAAAGCATGTGGCAGTGCCAGAACACAAAGTGCAAGTTCAAGGAAGCTTGACTAAGCTTATCACTAAATCTGAATTGTTAATTCATCATGGTGCATATTAATGGTAAGAGAATGAAAGACATCAGTGTAGAGACAGTGTTCTATTTATTCTGGCTAGCTGGCAGAAAGTGAAAATTTCCCTTACACTTTCCCCGCCTGGCCCCACGCCTGCCACCTGTTCTGGAGTATCACCATGCAGGGTTACCCCTAGAGCACCCTTGTAATGATGTTTTGTCACAAACTATAAGTAGCAATGATCCATAAAGGAGACTGAAAATGAGTTTCCTATCCTCCTCCCCATCCAAAAACTACTGGACAGAAATGCAATCTTTAGTCATACTGCTGGAGAATCTCCCAGAAGAGTGCTCATTAGAAAGTGTTGTGTAAGTAAGCTCGTAATGCCAACTTCATATTTCAACCACTGCGTGCTCTTCAGCCACCAACAAAACCCACCATGTCATTCATGAAATGTTCATGGAAATGCCTCCATGGTAAGGTAATGGTGGTTGGGAGTGGGGGGGGCAGCACAGGATGAACACAACATGGACACCCCTCCCCTAGAAATTACAAAGAAGCATGGGAAATAAACATGCAATTACCTACCAAAATACAAGCAAAAAGTGTCAAAGTGCCCAATAAAAAGATACACAGGCAGTGATATGGGAATTCTTGTAGGAGACCAATTCCTATGTTTGTGAGTAGGATGTAGAATGGCTTGAACTAGGCCTTGAGCAACAGCCAGAAGTTGTAGAAACAGCAGAAGCATGAGGAAGGGAATTAAATGAATATGGTTGGGAAACAGTTAGCAAGTAATCTGTCACCAGTGGAAGGGTGCACCAGGGGGAACAAGAGGAGATAAAAGTTAGACTCTTATCAGATTGGGAGTCAGATCCTATTCAATTAGAGTTCTAGTTTAGACTTTAGTCCATGGGTGAGTTTTTATAAACAATAGGACATTAAAGCTGTTTGAAGCAGCCAGAACTAGTAAGTGAAACGACCTCTGGGTTCTCCTCATATGGAAGTTGGAGAACAGGGAACTTAGTTTATGCCTTCTGGGGCACAGAACAGAGTGAGGAAGGTATAGGGCCATCTGATGGAATACATGGAAGATGTCTGATGCAGCTGAAATTGTAGCCCAATTTAACAAAAGCATAAACTGATGCATAGAGAGCTGAAATTGTTGAAGGCAATCCTAACTACCAGAGTCAGAATTTGAACCCAGGGCCACTTGACTCCAAAGCTGGTGCTCATACTTAGTGTTAGACTCAACATCATTGCAGAAATGTTGAAATCTTGTCTGACAACACAGATGTGCAGTTGCATTCTCATGGCCCCCAACCAATCCTGGGTCCATGGTGGCAGAGGCTCCAGAGAGATGGACATAACTGTAAAATGACAGGCTGGGTCCCAGGATAGGGAAGGTGAAGAGAGAACCAGGAATGGTGTTGCATTCAATAAAAATAGTGAGGGGTCTAGGTATTGTAGAATAGTTATATAATAGCATTTTGGTAAATGCTAGTCCATGTTGAAATGGATGTTTATAGATGTCTCAATTTTCACAACAGCTCAAAGATGTGGAGTCATTATGGCTGTCCAGAGAGGACTTCTTCTAAGGTAGCTATTCATTTCTTATGTCAATTCAAAGTTCACCTCCACAAACTCTCCCTTCTCCCATGATTTCCCTACCAGGACAGTATTGTCAGCCCCTACCTCTTGCCCATCCATATACCCATGGTTACCTCTTTCCTCTCATGCCTGGAACCTCATTCTGATTCTGTTACTTTGTGGATGATAATAAGATTATGTTTCTTGAAGCCTGAAATTCAAGGGCAGACTTAGCCCTCTCCCTTTTCTTCAGTACCAGTGTTTTTCTCCCAGTGAATTGAAGTTTCTTTCAATTTGGAAAATTTCATAGTATTTCTCTTGTTAATAAGGATAGTTGATGTTGCTTGGGGCTTCTTAGTTCCTTAAATAAGCGTTAGTGTACTTATTTCCCATAAATAACTGGAGGATAGTCCTGTTGTCTCTGATTCAGATAAGCAAGCAGGTGCAGAGAAATTATTCATCTCTTGTTTCTCAGTTAGGTAAATGTTGGAAGCAGGCAGGGCCTGTGTTCTGGAATCTTAGAGCTGATTGGGAACTCATTGATAAGCTCTATTGAGTCCCATGATGCTGCTTATTAACATGATTGTGTCCACTCTAATGACTGATAGCCCCAGTTCTTGATAACTTTCAAGAATACATGGAAACATATTTAAATCACTTCTTAAAGTCAGATTTGTACACCTGAGGTTTTGTAATCCCCCTCCAGCAGCACCGTATCACATGAGGCATAGTATACGACTCCTATCACTTGCAGGCATAAGCAGCACAGTATCCAGGCTGCCGTGCTGCAGAATCATATGACTTCCAACAGTTGCCTCAGACAGGCAGTGATTTGTGACTACTGAAGAGTACTTTAAATAACAAAATCCCCAGAGACATGTGGCTCAACTGGATTCATTTGATTTTTTATATTTCTGCATTCTTAATTAATGGCTTTATCATATTTAAAATCAACTAAGATATTGACCAAACTGACAGTGATTTATTTGTAGGGAAGGGTAAGCTTATTAAGCCCTAGCTACTCCAAGAAGACAAATGATTTCGCATTGCCTTTCTATTGGCATTCAGATATGTGATCCTTTTAATGGATCAGGTGTTATGGTCTGAATCTTTCTGGTCCCCCAAAACTTGTATGTGGAAACCCTAACATCCAAAGTGATAGTATTAGGAAGTAGGGCCCTTTAGTAAGTTATCAGGTCATGTGGAATTAGGGCCCAAGGACATTCATTCACCTCTTCCAACCTGCGAAGACACCATGAGCAGACATGATTTCGATGAAACAGGAATTGGGCCCTTGAGCAGACACCAAATCTGCTGATATCTTAATCATAGACTTGCCATCCTGCAAAACTGTTAGAAAAAAATTCTGTCTCTTACTAGCCACCTGGTCTGTGATATTATGTTATTTCAGCTTGAAAGCACAAAGACAGAAGGAAACATGTCTCCCTCTCCTCAAAACCTTGAATTCACAATACTTTGTTATACACAGGGGCAGAAGAAAAATCTACTTGTATAAGTTGATTACATACTAAGAAATTAAGAATTCCTTCAGGTATGGAAAGCAATGTAGCAACTTCTCATTTGCAAAATTCTCTTTCATATACACAGTCTAAACAACACTATCTTACTGCTGTCTTCAGATTGTTGCCTTAGTATTAGCTCCTAGAAGTGCTACCATCAAATATCAGAAGGCAAGCATTTGGCCTCATGGTTAAGATGCCACTTGAGATTCCCACATCCTATATCAGAGTACTTGGGTTTGAGTCCCAGCTCTGCTTCTAATTTCAACTTCCTGCTAATGCTCACTCTGGTAGGCAGTAAAATTGTTCAAATGCTTAGGACCCTGCCATCCACATGGGAGACATGGATAGGGTTCCCAGCTCCCATTTTCAGCCTGGCCCAATCCTGGCCATTGTATGCATTTGTGGAGTGAACCAATAGATTGGCGATCTCTGTCTCAAATAAAAATTTAAAAACAAAGAAAAATGAATTTAATAGCTAACCTACCTAATATCTTAGCAACACAGCACAGTCTAGAGCATCAGTTCCTTTCCCCCCTGATGACAGCTGCCTAGGAGCTATGGCTTCCCTGCCCAGCTCATGGAATATCACTAGCCTGGGAAGAATCAAAATTTGAAGCATCAATTTCACAACATCTTAAAATTGGACAATCTCAAGTTTAACCATCAGAAGCCAGAGACCGTCTATAATGTTTGCACATGCTCTGTGTGAGGTCTTCTGATTACCGTGTAGCTCCCTGAACTTCTACCCTTTCCTCAGGAGTGAGGTCTCTGCTTCCTCCCTTCAGCTGCCTCCAAAGCTCCGCTTTCAGTTATAATTTAACCTACTAAATGATTCCCTTCCCAAGGTTCTGCCTTCAGGACTAAATTGTAGCTCCATTAACCCAGGGACTAAGGAGTCTATGCATTGTTGTTCTCTACCTAAAAGCGCCTAGGACATAGAAAGCACTCGGTAAGTACTTTTGAATGAGTCAATTAATGAATATGAAATAACAAACACAAATTGCCCTCAAGTTGTTCATGGACTCAGAATGAGAAAGAAATGCAGAATAAAACAAAACAGGAATTCAATGTAATACATATACCGCCAAAGAAAGATGCCCAGTTCAACCCAAAAGAGAAGGCGCAAGTGCCTAGCTTTCCCTGGAGCAATTCAACAGGTAAGGTCACCTGAGCTGAGACACAAAGGACAACCTTGTCAAAGGAAGTCAGTGGTAGGGGGTGAGCACTGAGCCAGAGGAAACAGCAGTGCAGGGACACAGCCTGAGAGGGGAGGGAACACATAGCCACTGAGAGAAATGGATTAGAGACAGAGCACAGGGGATCTGGAAATGATAGGAACCTGATCTTACAAGGACTTGCTGGACTGGAGGACAACTAGTTCAAGCTTTACCATATAGTTTGCACAGGGTGGAAAAGACACCAGTAGATGTTGCATCTTTAAATATTGCTTTTGCAAACTGGAGAATGCAGTGAGGTGGAAGAGGAGGGAGGCAGAACAATGGTAAAGAGGTTGTTGAAGCTGCTCCTGAGATGACCTGGGACCTGAAATGAGGAAGTAGATGTGGGGAAGGAAAGGAAGAAGTGAGACATGATGGGCTATATAATTTGTATGGCCCAGTGCAAAATAAGAATGCAGAGCCCCTTGTTCAAAGAGAAAAGTGCCATAAAAGTTATATAGAAATTGTTTCTTTTCTTCCATGGTCTCTTGACTTTTCTTGGTGTTTTTTTACATGTTGTTTAATGTTTTCTCAGTAAAGAAAAATTAAGCTCTACATTATTAGCATGAATTTTTCCCTCAGTAATACGTAATTTAACCTATACAAATGCCAATTTTAAATATCAGAGCATTCAATTCACAGAAAGAATCGCCAAAATGACACAATCTGCATTTAATGTCTCAGGGTGCCTAGAGCTGGTCTGAAAAGACAAACACAGGTCAGACTAAGGAAGGTTTAAAGGAAAAGGATTTGTGTTGCCAGCACTCTGGGCCACTGGTACACTCTTGGCAAGTACAGACCCCAACCTGTGCCCAGAAGCCCATGTGCAACACAAATGCATTTGCTCAAGGTGTTACCCTTGTCAGGGGTAGAGTCTGGGGAAGTCAAAACAGAAAGCCCCTCTTCACACAACAGACAGTAACTTCCAACAATCTCATACTTCCATTCCAGGATGGGCTGGATACTGTATGTGGGTAGGAAGGAATCTTAGTACCACCCAAGAGACGACTTTCTCCTGGTCACCTACCAGATGCACATGAACCTGCTAGGATAGGGACAGTAGCCACCAGGCTCCTCCCAAAGATATCACAAGGTGTTTGTTCCTAACTCTATCCAACCTTCTCAGGAATGTGCCCAAGGCCCTAAGCCTCAAGGGAAAGACTGAGTGGGCCTGGCACTAGGAAACATGAAAGGGGACAGCCCAGAACCCACCCACTGGAGATGGTGGGAGGAAGGCACACTTGCAAACTCAGGCTCCCAGCCTCCTCTGGCACTTGATCCACTGTCCCATTGAGCTTCCCTAACAAAACAAATTTGGAGGTTATCAATGATTTCAAGCAGAGCTTTACCCCTCAAGTACAGAGCCTTGCTGATGCCCATGAGCTAGGCAGAGATTAGAGACCAAAGACCACTGGTGGTAGGACAGGTAGTATAACTGTGAGCCCAGGTAGGAAACATAGGGAGGAGAAGGTGTATTTCTGAGTCCTTCATGGTTGGGCATTCCCTGCCTACCTACTAGACTTCCATTTTCAATGTGCAGTTGACTTTCAAAGAGGAAGGTTACTGAAAAATATATAAAACCTAAACATGTACAATTCTGAGGAAACTTCTTGGCTCAGGCTGAATGAAAACATTAATCTATTTAGCTATTTTTTAACTTACCACTAAAATTAAACATTTTGGAGAATTGCCTGGTGCTGTTAATCAGGAAAAAAAAATCCTCATTAGTTTTATAATTGTATGCCCCCAAAGTACTCAACAGGTACCTCTTCTGCTCCAGTGTCTAGGTCACAGTAATAAATTGGCTGAAAAAAAATTGCTGCTAAAATATTAAGCATGAGTATGAATTCACAATGATCTAAGGTAATCATTTGCTGAAACTTTCTGCATTTTAAAATAATCCTCCAGAGGGTGAGCATTTAGTCTAGTCATTCATGATGAAGATATCTATGTCCCATACAGCAGATATCTAGATTCGATTCCTAGCTATGTCTCCTGATCTCAGCTTCTTGCTAATTCAGACCCTGGGAGACAGCAGTGATGGCTCAAGTAATTGGGTCCCCATCACCCATGTGGGAGACCTGGATAATGTTCGCAGTTCCTGGCTTCAGACCCAGACAAACCTCAGCCAGTGAGTGCATTTAGGGAATGAACTAGCAGATAAGAGTGTGCTTGCTCGCTCTCAAATAAAATTTAAAAAATAAGGGTTGGCATTGTGGCACGGTGGGTTGAGCTACCATTTGAAATGCAGGCATTCCATCAGAGTGCT